CTGTTGACTGCACGGCTGCCTTCAGCATCACCACCTTCATTTACCATGGGCGATCCCCCACCCTCACTTAATTATCCCTGGCTTTGCAAAGCCTCCACTCTTGCTTCCAGGCCAGAGCATTCTTGTAGGAAGACACCAGGCTATGCAGGACTATCTTACAAGACCTCATAAATATAATCTTATTAACCTTTTAGTAATTCTGTAGTATATAAAAGTCAACCATAGCCTTCTTAACACTCTTCAAGACCCTTAGCTACCAATCTTCTCAGAGCAATCAAATTACTTTCAAGTTTACTCTGCTGAGACCATCAAGGCCAACAAGCATCCCTTACTTATCAGCCTTCTTCATAACTCCACATATTTCACTCCTTAGCCTATGATAATTAAGCACTTGTATTACATAGCACCAATAATTAAGCACTGTTGACAAGTATTTTTTTTTTTTTTTTGACAGGCAGAGTGGACAGTGAGAGAGACAGAGAGAAAGGTCTTCCTTTTGCCGTTGGTTCACCCTCCAATGGCCGCCGCGGCCGGTGCGCAGGAGAATTAGCCTACTGAGCCGCGGCACCAGCCACAAGTATTGTTCTATGAGCTTTATGTGTAATTATCTCATTCGATCTTTATGGTAATCCTAGCAAATAAACATTAAAACTATGTCTGGGGCCGGCGCTGCGGCTCACTAGGCTAATCCTCTGCCTGCGGCGCCGGCACACCAGGTTCTAGTCCTGGTTGGGGCGCCAGATTCTGTCCTGGTTGTCCCTCTTTCTGTCTAGCTCTCTGCTGTGGCCAGGGAGTGCAGTGGAGGATGGCCCAAGTCCTTGGGCCCTGCACCCCATGGGAGACCAGGAGAAGCACCTGGCTCCTGGTTTCAGATCAGCGTGGTGCGCTGGCTTCGGCGGCCATTGGAGGGTAAACCAACGGTAAAGGAAGACCTTTCTCTCTGTCTCTCTCTCTCACTGTCCACTCTGCCTGTTAAAAACCTGCGGCGCTGGCACACTGGGTTCTAGTCCCGGTCAGGGTGCCGGATTCTGTCCCGGTTGTCCCTCTTTCAGGCCAGCTCTCTGCTATGGCCCGGGAGTGCAGTGGAGGATGGCCCAAGTCTTTGGGCCCTGCACCCCATGGGAGACCAGGATAAGTACCTGGCTCCTGCCATCGGATCAGCGCGGTGCGCCGGCCGCACGCGCTGGCTGCGGCGGCCATTGGAGGGTGAACCAATGGCAAAGGAAGACCTTTCTCCCTGTCTCTCTCTCTCACTGTCCACTCTGCCTGTCAAAAAACAAACAACAAAAAAACTATGTTTTATAGATTTTTTTAAGATTTATTTACTTGAAAGTCAGAGTTACAGAGAAGGAGAGGTAGAAAGAAAGAGAGAAAGAGAGAAAGAGAGAGAGAGAGAGAGAGACATCTTCCATCCACTGGTTCCCTTCCCAATTGGCCTCAACGGCCAGATCTACACTGATCTGAAGACAGGAGCCAGGAGCTTCTTCCGGGACTCCCACGTGTTTGCAGGGGCCCAAGCACTTGGGCCATCTTCTGCAGCTTTCCCAGGCAATAACAGAGAGTTAGATCGGAAGTGGAGCATCCGGGACTCAAACCGGTTCCCATATGGCATGCTGGCAACTGCAGGCAGAGGCTTTACTCGCTATGCCACAGCGCCGGCCCCATTTTATAGATTTAAGGTATGGGGCCGGCATTGTGGCATAGTGCTTTAAGCCACTGCCTGTGATGCTGGCATTCTTTGTGGGTGCTGGTTCAAGACCCGGCTGCTCCAAATCCAACCTAGCTCCCTGCTAATGTGTCTGGGAAAGCAGCAGGCCCAGGTACTTGGGCCCCTGCCACCCACATGAGAGACCCAGAAGAAGTTCCAACTTCCTAGCTTCAGCCTGGTACAGTCCCAGATTTTGCGGCCATTTGGGGAGATAACCAGCAGATGGAAGATTTCTCTCTATCTCTGCCTTTCAAATAAATAAAAAAGAAATTAAAAAAAAAAAAAAGAAATTGAGGTACAGGGAGGATTCCTCCATGGTCATTCAGCTACAAGTGGCAGGGTTAGGCTAGGCACTGTGGTGCAGCAGGTTAAGATGCTGCTTGTGATGCACTTATCATGTACTGAAATGCTGGTTCAAGTACTGGCTATTCCACTTCCCTTTCAGCTTCTTGCTAATGTGCCTAGAAAGGCAGTGGCTGATGACCCAAGCACTTGGGTTCCTGCCATGCAAGTAGGAGACCTGGATGGAGTTCCTGCTTCCTGGCTTTAACCTGGCCCAGACCTGGCTGCTGTGACCATTTTGGGAGTGAACCAGCAAATGCAAGATTGATCTGTCTCCCTGCCCATCAACCCTGATACTCTATCTTTCAAATAGTAAAAATGAATTATTAAAGAATCATTAAAATGGTAAACTTTATGTATCTTATACTTTATTACAATTTTTTAAATGCATAAAGTGAACAAGTATATATAAGGGACCATTACTTTTATATATTTATTTCTAAATTTTTATTTATTTTCCCTTTATTTGAAAGGCACATACACAGATAGAGATATATCTTCCATTGGTTGGCTCATTCCCCAGATGTTCACAATAGCTGGGACTGGGCCAGGCCAAAGCCAGGAGCCAGCAACTCAATTTGAGTCTCCCACTTGGATGGCAGGAAACCAAGTACTTGAGTCTCATGTGCAGCCTCCCAGGGTGCATATTAACAGGAAGCTGGACTGGAAGTGGGATAGCCAGGATGCAAGCCAGCACTCTGATGTGGGACGTGTGAGTCCCAAGCAGCGGCTTAATCTGCTGGTCACGACACCAGCTGCTGTATCTTTATTCTGAATCACTACTTTCTAGTTTTTGACTGATATTCCTCCTTTCCTCAGTAGCTACTATGGAAAGCTCTTTCTCTCTGCTTTACACTTGGAGTCATTAGCCTTCCTTTTCCCTTCTATGCAGTTGGTCCTGAAGGCTCCAATTCCTTATTCTGTATTTCCATTTAAATTTCCCGTGATCACCTCTAACTCAAATGCCTAAAACAGAACATATTTGATCCCTTTGAATTTACCTTTATTTTCAAATTTATTATAGTATCACCAGTTATTATAGTATCACCAGTATCTCTACTACTCAGAATAAAGCCAAAAGTTGTATCCTCACAAATTTCTCTGTCCTTTTGTCAGATCACCCTGTCATTGAAAGCACTTTTAACAAACTGCTATTATCCTACTTATTGGATGACTTCTTTATATTGTTTATCTTCTTAATCAGAAAAAAAAATAAGTATACTCTTCATGAAAATTAGAAATTGAGTTTGGGGCTGGCAGCGTGGCATAGTGGGCTAAGGCCTCCACCTGTGGCACTAGCATCCCATATGAGAGCCAGTTCGAGTCCCGGCTGCTCCTCTTCCAATCCAGCTCTCTGCAATGGCCTGGGAAAGCAGTATAAGATGGCCCAAATGCTTGGGCCGCTGCAACCGCATGGGAGATCTGGAAGAAGTTACTGGCTCCTGGCTTCAGATCAGATCAGCTCTGGCTGCTGATCAGCCATTTGGGGAGTCAACCAGCAGATAGAAGACCTGTCTCTCTATCTGTCTGTCCCTCTCTCTGTCTGTAACTCTACCTCTCAAAATAAATAAACAAAATATTTTTAAAAAAAGAATATCTTCTAAAAAAAAATTGTGTGTCCTCATCGTGACAGTGTCCTCAATTCTAATATAGCACCTAGTATCTATCAGTATCATAATAAATAGTGAACATTGTTACTAATTCCATTCATTTTTTATTCATAATAATAAAGTATGTGGAGTATGATAAACTGCTTTAAAATTTTTTCCAGTTTTATTAAGGTTTAATTGACAAAATCAGCATTTATTCAAGGTATACAATATGCTGATTTATATACCCTTATGCATGTGTAATGATTACCACAATTAAATTAATCAGCACATCCTTCACCACACAGTTATCATTTTGTATGTGAGAGAGAGAGAAACAGGTGGGGGGGAGATAAAGAGGTGAGCACACAAACTGCTTTTACACTGTGTCACATATACAACAATCCTATTGAAGGAGTAGATCATTATTATGCTCTCCACTGAATAATAAAATAAGTTAAACCACAGAATGGTTAACTGTCTTGCAAATGGTTTCAATATTAGCAAACAAGAGAAAAACTAGAATCCAAGTGTTCCAACACCACTATACCATATTTGTCTTGTATAATGAACACATGTTTAGGGGCCAGCATTGTAGTGCAGCAGGTTATACCACCACTTGTAACACCAGGATGCCATATCAGAGCCGGCTCCAGTCCTGGCTGCTCTGCCACTACCAATCCATCTACCCACTAATGTGTCTGGGAAGGCAGTAGAAAATGGCCCAAATTAGGGCCCATGTCACACACATGGGAGTTTCAGATGGAGTTTCAGGCTTCTGGCCCAACCCCAGCTATTGTGGCCATTTGGTGAGTGAACCAGCAGATAGAAGATCTCTCTCTTATCTCTCTATCATTCTGCCTTTCAAATAAATACAAAAAATGTAGAAAACCACATTCATATCCATATTTGTTTCTAAGAAATAGATTCAAAAATGAAAAATCCTTCAAATGCTCTTAAGCATCAGTATGTCCATGGCCTATAAGGTTCAGACCCTATATGTATCTTCCAGTGATGTGTCAAAGATAAATGGAAACAGAAGAAGGATACTGTAAGATACCTGAAAAATCATGTCAAGTACATTCCACCTATTACTATTATCCTGGAGTTGTTACTTAAAAAGATATCTGTGGTGATCTACTCAAACTACTAACTGCAATCTGCCCACCCAGCAAAATAGTCACATGGTGATGTGACACCCTATCAGTCAGGGAACTCTTAGAATCTAAAAGCCACATCTTCTTGATCTCAACAGCCTAAGCATTTGGTACAGTGGTTGTACCATATTAATACAGACAATACTCTTTATTCAAGAATGAAGGAATGTGAAGAATACAAAACATCATCAGAGAACACCTTACCTTGCCCTCTTCTTGATCCTCCAAGGAAAATTCCATCAATTCATCTGAAATCTCTTCTGCCCTATCTTCTACTGCTTCTGGATTTTTATCCAATTTTGGAAATAGAGTAATGGGACTGCCCAAATAATTCATCTCACTTTCCACCAAGTCTCCATTGTCCTGCCAAGTATATGAAAAACATTAAAAACTCTTCAAGATCCTGACCTTACACTGTATACAAAAATTAACACAAAATATATCAGAGGCTTAAGTGTAAGAGCTAAAACACTAAACCTCTTAGAAGAAAACACAGATGGAAAAGTTTAATGACATTGGATTTGGGAATGACTTCCTGGATCCGACACCAAAACTTGGTGTTCAGCAAAATGAAAAACTTGTGTGCATCAAAGGACACTGGTGGGGATGGCATTATCATAGAGTGGGTTAAGCTGCCAACTGCAAAACAAGCATCTCATAATATAGGCATCAGTTTGAGTCCCAGCTGCTCCATTTCGGATCCAGTTCCCTGCTAATGTGCCTGGGAAAGCAGCAGCAGATGTCCCAAATGCTTAGGCACCTGCCAGCCACATGAGACCAGATGAAGTTTTAGGATCCTGGCTTCGGCCTAACTTCAGCCTGGTCCAGCCATTAAGACCATGTGGAGAGTGAAGCAGAAGATTTAAGATCTTTCTATTTCTCTCTCTCTCTTTCTCTGTAAATCTGCCTTTCAAATAAATCTTTAAAAAAAAAAAAAAAACATACTAATACAATTGAGAACGTGAAAAGACAACATAGAAAATGGAAGAAAACATTTGCAAATTATAGATCCAACTAGGGCTTAATATCAAAATATTATCTCAGAGCTGAACAATAAAAAAAAAATACCCCAAACAGGACTCAGACATTTTCCCAAGGAAGATACACAATGGTCAAGAAAGCACATCATAAATGCTAATTGCATATTGATCATAGCAGCTCAACATAAATAATCATTTGTGAAATGCAAATCAAAATTACAATGAGATAAGATTCCAAACCAACCAGGATAGCTATTAGGACATTTCAAAAATTTGTAGGGGAATGGAATTAAGTTTATTCTGGTACAAAAAAATTTTAAATCCATGCAGTTTTTTCATTATAGGCATTTTTATGAACTTTCTGAAATACAGAGAGACACAGGCTCCCATCTGCTTCCCAAATGCCTGCAATAGCCAGAGCTCAATACAGGTCTCCCATGTGGATGGCAGGAATCCAATTACTTGAGCCATCATTGTTCCCCACAAGGGTGTGCATTAGCAAGAAGTTGGAATAAGAAGTGAAACTGGTACTCAAATCCAGGCACTACAATTTGAGAGGCAGGTACACCAAATGGCATCGTAACTGCTCCAACAAACCCCCACCTCTCCTTAAATTTAAACAAATGAAAAGGTCAGAGGACACATGGCTTCTCTCTTTCACTGTTTAAACTTTACTTCTCCCATCCCTTTTCTCATCCAAGTCATCTGAGGAAAAAAAAAAGGTCATAAACCCCACAACTGCCATCCCATAGCTCCTATTACCTAAATAAACCCTTAAGCATGATGTTCAGAGACTCACCAGCAAAGAAAGGGGCGACACATAAGGCCCCCTTGGTCTCTTTTGAAACCTCAGGTTCCTGGGTGCCTGCCACTGGGAAGGCTTCAAAGTGTTGCGTGCCTACATAAAGAAAATGCATTGGCAGGAGGAAGAGATGTACTAGTGGGCCCTGCCAAAAACATTTCATCTGATCACACCATGAATAATCTTCATGAAGCACATTAAATGTAATCAAGGCTGACCCTATATCCTGAAGATTGAAATTATGGTTTGAGTTTGATGTGTGGCACAGATTTACTGTGGCGGATACTAATCTGACGATCACAAGCAAAATGAATGGGGGGATTGGGGAAGAAGCCTGCCTGGGGAGAGGATGGTGAGATTTTTAAAGAGTGATTATAAAGGGAGATTAGAAAGGTAGTACAAAATCAAGAAAAAGCTGATTAGAATAGCCAGAAACATGGCATATCTTAGTCAACGGAAGAAAAGAACAGCATCTATCTTTTATGCATACTGACCTGGGGGAAGGGAAGCAGGAAAGAAAAAAAGATGGCTAGAAAAAGGGATTAGTTGAAGGGATTAGGTAGAGAATTATCTTCATGATTAGGGGGCTCTGGAGAGGCCAGTTTCAACTTGGAACTGAAGGATGTCCTAAGGCTTAGACAGGGAAGGCCATGGCTTCCTTAGGATGGGGGCTCATAAGCTAGACTAAGGGGAAAATAAGAAGAAATCAAGAAATCTACATTTGTATATAAAGCTATGTAAAGAATCTCTGAACAGATTATATAACTTAAACTATCCCTTTAAAAGAAAAACAAATTCCCAGTTCTTTACATTACAGTAACAGCCATTTTTGTTCTCACAGCAAATGAATATGAGTAATGATGATAACTTCCTATGGGGGACTTTGAGCTAGGTTTCTCTTCTAGGACCAAACCTCAATGAGAAAGAAAAAAAAAAAAAAAAAACTAAATGTTTCCCTGTACTGATTCAGTTGGCTTATCTAGCATATGAACTGCTCCACATCTCACAATGATACCAATGAGTTGCTTCACTCAAAGAAATGCTAATGCATTTAGGTTTCCATTAAACACTCACATTTTCTTGATTTGTAGATGAGGTACACACTGCATCTTTCTTTCTGCGGCCATGGCCCAAAGCATTTGGAGTGCTACAAAGAAGCTGCGCCTAAAAGAGATTGCTTGCCGAGAACATCCAGAACGCCCAAGCCACAGGTGAGTTGGAAACCCTTTGCCTCCCATCTGAGAAACTAACTCAAACCCAAAAAGGAGGTGCTACTTACTGGGCTGCTTTTCAAAGGGCACTGGTGGTGATTCCTGCAAATGAAAGCCAATTACCAGTCAAAGTAAGCCCCAAATACTCTGTTTATTCTTCAGCAAGATGGGGGCAGCCTATCTTGTCTTTCTTCCATTCTAGGAGCCTTATTCCTACTTGCCATTCCTAGTTGATCCAATAATACACAGCGTATTCTCTATGGTAAACATTGTGTCTCCAGTAACATGTTGAGACTAAGGCCTTCATTTCACTTGTGTAGGCATTTATAGAGATAAGCACCAAAGATGAGTGAGTTTATCTTACATCTTCTGTAGACATGATTTACAATTTACTAATTTTCCAGCATTGACTACTGGGAGCTAATTTTTCTTTATGTCTATCCTTCAATTTCTATCCTTCCAGTCTGTAAATGATTACAACATTTAAAGCAATTCAAAGAAAATGCATGCAATACAAATGAAAATTTCACAAATATTGATGAAAACAGTCATGGAAAGACTTCTCTAGTGCACTGAAGTACTACCTAATTCACCTACACATCAAAGGATAAAGTTCTAAGAATAAAATGGTCGGCCGGCGCCGTGGCTCAATAGGCTAATCCTCCACCTTGCGGCGCCGGCACACCGGGTTCTAGTCCCGGTTGGGGCGCCGGATTCTGTCCCGGTTGCCCCTCTTCCAGGCCAGCTCTCTGCTATGGCCAGGGAGTGCAGTGGAGGATGGCCCAGGTGCTTGGGCCCTGCACCCCATGGGAGACCAGGAAAAGCACCTGGCTCCTGGCTCCTGCCAGGATCAGCGCGGTGCGCCGGCTGCAGCGGCGGCCATTGGAGGGTGAACCAACGGCAAAGGAAGACCTTTCTCTCTCTGTCTCTCTCTCACTGTCCACTCTGCCTGTCAAAAAAAAAAAATAAAAAAAAAAAAAATAAATAAATAAAATGGTCAAGGAGAAAATTTACAGTAAGTTTAAGAAGGGCTGACCTAAAATTTGCCCCCTGAGTATTCTATGAACATTTTAGGTTTTCCAACAAGGAATCCATAATAGTAATAGTAGCAAACAGATCAAACTACTTGGTATGTGTGAGACACAAATTTTCATTTAACCCAAACAATAGCTGTTTATGAGAAGTGCATTAATTACCTTCATGCTGCAAATAAATAAATGAAGACCTAATGAAGTTAAGAAACTTGTCAGAGTCAGCTGGTGTAGCAGTAAATCACCAGAATATAGATAATCTGATTCCAAAGCCTGTATTCTGTTCTTCAATTTTCTTTTCAAATACAGTTGAGAGTCAGAGAGAGAGAGAGAGAGAGACAGAGAAAGCATGCACTGCCATCTGCTAGTTTATTTCATAAATGCCCATGGTGAGGAGAGGCTGGGAACTCAATCCAGGCATCCCATGTGGGTGGCAGGAACCTAACCACATGAGTCATCAATGCCGCTTCCCAGGTTCTGCAGCAGCAACAAGCTGAAATCAATAGTTGGAGCCAAGTGTAACCCAGATACTCAGATATGAGATCTGGAAGTTTTAACTGGTATCTTTACCTCAAGGTAAAATGCCCACCCTACCCCTATACCCCCACCTTTGTGTGTGTGTGTGTTTTCCCAAGCACATAAGTAGGGAGTTGGTTCAGAAGTGGAGCAGCCGGGACTCCAATCGGCGCCCATATAGAATGCCAGTACTACAGGGAGTGGCTTTACCCACTAGGCCACAGCGCCAGCCCCAATCCCTGTCCTTTTTTTCTTTTTTAAGATTTATTTATTTATTTGAAAGGCAGAGTTACAGAGTGCCATAGCTGGTAAAGCCTCCGCCTGCAGTGCTGCACCCATTTGGGAGCTGGTTTGTATCACAGCTGCTCCTCTTCTGATCCAGCTCTCTGCTATGGCCTGCAAAAGCAGTAGAAGATGGCCCAAGTCCTTGGGCCCCTGCACCCGTGTGGGAGACCTGGAAGAAGCTCCTGGCTCCTGGCTTCAGATAGATGCAGTTCCGGCTGCTACAGCCATCTGAGGAGTGAACCCGTGGATGGGAGATCTCTCTCTCTGCTTCTGCCTCTCTGTAACTCTTTCAAATAAACAAATCTTTAAAAACAAACAAACAAACAAACAAACAAATCCTTTGAGCAGCACTGAATGGCTTTAGCATGGGGTTCATTTAGCAAAAATGAACTTACATCCCAGCTAACTGTACTTCCTGAGGTTCTGAAGAATCCATGTAACCTGCAATTAGACATAAAGAATCTGTAAGAGGCATTATTCTTATCCATGCATCTGTTTTTTCCTTCAGAGTTTCTCCTTTACCAGTAAGTTACGTTAATTTCAAAACCTGAACTTAGCTTTTGGACATAAAACCTCTTGACTGGTACCCATTTCATAGTAAAAAGTACCGAGGTACAAGGTACAAATTCATGAAAGTTTAAGGATTTACAGGTGTCACTGAAAAAAAAATTGCTGGTAATACTGCACTATGTTAACATACAGAAAATTTTTTCATGAATAGAAATGAAAGCTATCACTCAGGAAATTTGAAATTAGAAGAAATTCTAGAATGATTGATTAATGAACCATTCCTTTTGTGCACAGACCTATAAACACACATAAGAATTAAATGGAAAAGTATTTATGTTGGTTTCTTTGCCTCAGCAGGGATTACACCAGGGCACAAAACTTCTCAGGTCCTAACTATTAGGCTTTCATTCCCACCATTAATCAGTCAATAAAATATATTCCTTTTTGTCTAACAGCTTCAAATACAAAGTGACTTCTTTTAGTGTTATTATCTTCCTCTGTTGGCCTCATCATTCTTATCAAACCCCCCTAGTTATCCAGAAAATTCAACTCTTTAGAGGGGATCTCTAACCTACTTTCTCTGATTTCTAAATCTAATCTACTACCCTGTTCTCTCCCATAAAAGTTACTGGTCCACTTGAGGTCTCGAGCTTCTCCCTACCGGTTTCATCAAGTTCTGCAGAAGTGGTGAGCTGAGTGGCAAACATCTCCCCATTGCTAAGATTCGAAAGATCAAGGCAACGTTTTGGGGTTTCTCTGTTGAGACATAACAGTACATTAAGATCCCTGTTAGATCGTAATATCCTTAAAAGGCAAAGGTCATTTGAAACACCTTTAATGTCTATAACATGAGCTGAACAGTGTCGAAACACGAGTTAACCTAGTTGATTTTTGGAAATATCTCAGACTGGGCGGAGAAAAATCTCCCACATTTTCTTGACTCCAATAATCAGTACCACATTATCTCTTCATCAACATAATGAGACAGTATCACTCTATTTTTATGGGGCTCAACTTTATTTACAAAGGGATTTCTTGACCTCATCATGTCCTCTGTGCTGTGCACCATGAACACACAGATTTGGTTTCTTCTTGAAATCTGCTACACTTCTGTTTGGTAGCCAAGGTATCACGACATGGTATGGCCAGAAGTACAAGACCACCACAGCCAATATTACCAGAAATAAAGTGAACAGCTCACATAATGATATGGAGTTTTCCCAGATATCACATTATTTGACTCTTACCAGAACCCAGGAAGACAGGAAGAGATTATTAGTTCCATGCAACAGAAAAGTAGTCTGAGATTCAAAAGGGTCAGAGCAGAGCTGAGACTCCAATGTTGATCTTTGAGCCAGGATAATTTAAAAAACAAAACACACACACACACACACACACACACACACACACACACACACTTGTTTAGAGAAGTCAAGGATATAAGCTTTAAGAATAAAGGTGGATTTACCCAGACAAAACGCTGAGATTTGCAGAATCACCAAGCAGTCTGTCCCCTGGAGTTCTCGGGAGCTCTGGACAGAGGGTAAAGGAATTGTCTCTCTCCAAGAGCAGGTGTAGCATCTTCCTCTGATTGGACCTAAAACTGGGGCCTGAGCCAAAGCTCCCCTCCTCTCTCGTGGACGAAAAGAGATCTGCAGCCATGGTCTCGGAGCTCTCACCAAGGAAAAGGCGAAACCTAGCGAGAAGAGGACGTCGCTCCTGTAAGTGCAGCGCAGCCCCTTCCGATTCCAACCCCCTCAGGTCTGCAGTCAAGGGGACCGGAGCCGCACCAGGGGCATCCCCAAAGGGCGGATCACAGCCTCGCTCGACGCCTAAGGCACTGGCCCGAAGCGGCGGGGCTTTTGCGTCAGAGCCTGCACTTACTGAGAGGCAACCTCAGGACTTTAACCGCGGAATACAGACAGACCTTCCACCTGCTCAGAGCCACACAACTGGACACTCCTACCTGGAAGGGGCTCAGCTCTCCCAAGTCATGGCAATGCCCATTCCGTCCTCTGAACTAATCGAGGGGACAATGAGGTCCTGGGCACTCTGTGGCGGAGACAGCGGCCAAATTTACCTCACGTTTGTAGTCTGACAACGGCCTTCGGGAGAAAGTGGGTAGCGGTCGGACACGAGCGAAGACTCGAGCAGAATGAAAGGACGCGGTTCACCAGCTTGAAATTCCGCTTGTCCACTGCGTAGGCCAGGGTCGGGCTTCGCCGCCCCTCAGGTCAGAAAGCCAGCGCTAGAGCCTCTGGACAAGCCCATCAACAGCCGCGGGTCTCGACCATTCAAACCTTCCGCCCTCCCACTAACCTATCCCTGCTGGCCTCCAAGACGCGTCAGCCAATCTCCGCGCGCCCGCCCACATCCTGGTAGCCAATCTTTTGGCTCGTACCTCACCCGGGGGGCGTGAGCAGGTTCCGGAAGTGGGGCAAAACATGCCCCACCCCTGGAGCCAGAGCAGGATGGCGAGTGGTGCACTAGCGTCGGGCAAGCTTGTGAATAGGCTCCGCCCCGCAGGGAGCCTGACGCACCACTGGCTCTCCCTCTGGCCAATCGCCACACCTTCTCTGTACTTTCCCTTTGCCCCGCCCCGCCAACCCCGGGAGATTTAAATTGCTCCTCGTTAACCACCACCATTTGCTAGGATATTAGAAGAGATAATTAGGAGTGTGAGGGTGTTTTAAGCATTATTTTTTCCTTGCTTTTCTTGCGTCGTTATGGGACCTTTCCGTCTTAGTTTTGCTAGCTTTCCTCTGAGGACCAGGCATTTGCTGCGGGGTGGCAGGTGGAGGTGTGAGCAGGTGTGTGTGTTTATGCTAAGCAAGATAGGTGCCTTCCAAGGAGCTTCCGTTGTCCGGTGTCCCTTTGAGAGCGCAGCAGCTCACAGTCGATAATTATGTGGGTAAAAAGAAATTGCTTCTCAGGGAAAGTAAGGAAATTGAATCATCCAGGCACAATCCATCCTTATCACAGTGCAAAAGATCTTTAGAAATCTGAACACTGACTAGTTGAAATTTTTTAATACTGGGAAGATGCTTCTTAATAATTGGGTGGTTTATAGATGAGATTTGTCATGACTCTTGGGTAATGGAGGTGTCCATCATATTAGGGTTTCCTAAAATTTAGTTTTGCCTTCTAATCATCTGGAGATCCTGTCAAAATGCAGAGTCTGTTCAGCAGGGCTGCATTGTGTCCCAAGATCCTGCACTTTAAACAAATGCCCAGCTGATGTTGAGGCACTTGGACTTGGGACCATACTTAGGTAAGGGATTATGCTATACTCGTCACACTTCAGTGTGTATTTAGAATGGCTCATATTAAAAAAAAGCTTTATAAGCTTATAAAAGCTGTTTAAAATGCAGGCCCCAAAAAAGATGTTGCCACAGGTGTAGTGTGGGGACCAGGTATTATCAAGACCTAACCACCTCACCCCAGGGTACTACCCATACAGATGGCTCACAGACCCCACTTTGAGAAATAAAAGTCAGAAATGCAAATGTTATCTTTGAGATGCAGTAAGTCAGCAATACAACTTATATTGACCTCAGGATCTTGGTGATGGTAGTGAATGAGCAGTGCAGACTAGTCAGATGAGTTTTATTTTAACTTTTTCATCTGTGGAGCCTGCTTCCCCAGAAAGGAGGTTTGTGAACAGTCTTTGTCCTCCAGGACAGAGGTGCTGAGTGTGGGAGTCAGCACAAAGCCTTACTCTACCAAATGAGCTGGAAAATCAGGCAGGAATTAAGAGTGTGTGCATTGATTTCTGCTTCGATGTATTTTAAAGGGAAGTCAAATTTTGTCTTTTGTATCTTGACTTCTGAGGGGATTGGAATATATCTAATTTACACTTCCCAGAAGAAAGAACATCAGGATAGTAAGAAGCTAGGTGTTTAGACTGACATGAAGATGAAGATGTACTTTTTCTGTTAGATAGAGGATATTGATCTTATGTCATTCCCAGAAATTACTATCTAGGCTCCCGATTCACTGTGATAAGCAGTGAGCTGTGTCTCTTCATGTTGACCTCAGTGTGACCCATATTTGTTATTGCCAGGCCACAGTGACAGCCAGGGCTTCACCTTCAAACCTCAAACAAGAACAGAAGGTACAGCCATTGCTCCTCAGATATCCAGATTAGGTAATGGAGAAGGACCTACACACCTGGGACCCCTACCCACCTCCGGCCAATCTCTACAGGGCAGGGTGTCACTACTGCTTACTTCCATGAGTGATGGACTGAGTTCTGCCTCTCCCCACTTTGAAGAGGTTTAATTTTCCCTGGGTGAAAAGGGAGCGTCCGCACGAATGCATCTGCCTCTGACTTTGCTACCTTTGTAGGCAGGGAATGGAGCGACCCCTCAAGCCAATGGATTCTTCCCTTTGGAGGACTTCCTGGATGACTAGCACCAGGCCCTGGAAACCTCATTGAATTTGCATGGACACCAGAAGGGGGCCCAGGAAGCATACTCTGCTGAAACTCTTTGGAGCAAGATCACAGGTGGGGTCTGATCCATGAGGGAATAATTAAGATTGGACTCCGGGGCTGGCGTTGTGGCATAGCTGGTTAAGGTGCTGCCTATGACACTGGCATCCCATATAGATGCTGGTGGTTTATGTCCCAGCTGCTCCATTTCCTTTCCAGCTCCCTGCTATGTGCCTGGGAGGGCAGTGGAGGATGGCCCAAATGCTTAGGCCCCTGCACCCACACGGGAGATCTGGAGGAAGCTTCTGGTGCCTGGCTCAGCCCGGTGACCATTTGGGGAGTGAACTGGCTGTTGGGGGATCTCTCTCTCACTCACTCTCCCTGTAACTTTATCAAATAAATAAAAATAGCTATTTCAAAAAATTAAAAAATGTAGAGATGCAATGACTTTGAATAGCCCTTGTTTCTACTGTTAACACTTTTTTGTGTGTGTGTGTGCAAATTGTTGAACCCTTTACTTAGTATAGAGTTGGTCTTCTGTGTATAAAGTTAACTGAAAATGGATCTTAGTGGAGAATTGGACTGGGAGTGAGAGAGGGAAGAGGAGGAGGGTGGCAGTGTGGGTATGGTGGGAAGAATCACTATCCTACAGTTGCACTTTTGAAATGCATGATGTTTGTATTTCTTCAATAAAAGGCTTATTGGGGAAAGAATAAAAAGATTGGATTCCAAGTAGTAGCCTAAAAGTGAAGAATAAAGGGGGGGGGCGCAGGAAGAAAAATAGTAGGACATCAGTAAAAAAAATGTTGAGAACAAAAGGTGGCAGAAAGACATTTAATTGTGGGCAGGAGTGTTGAGTGTTAGGCTGTGGTGGGGGGGAGGCAGTGAATTATTTTATACTTGAAGGATGTAGCCTTCCTTTGAAAAGAGGCCTGAGATGTCACTTGCAGGGATTTTCTTTTCTTAAGCATCATAATTTCTTTCAGTGTTTTGCAAATGAGCCAATGCCACCTTAACTTCTTTTACTCAACCATTTAACTTTAGTAAGCAAGGTTAATAATAAAAAGGGGAACAGCCTAGTGGTGAAAGGCAGGGCTTCAGAGCCTTGGACTGCTTCTTGAGACTACTTTTGCCTACCCATGAGCAGTCCGTTAACTTCTCCGGCTCTTTCATCTGTGAAATAAGGAGTTGTGTTTTTTTTTTTTTTTCATTTGGTGATTGCACGCAAAAATGAGAATACATGTTTGAAGTACGTTGCATGGTATCTGGCACATCCTATGTGTGCAGTCACAGAAACCACCTCCCCTACACTTCATGGCCCTGCCTCTGCCCCTTCTCCTTTGCTAACGGGGATGTACAGTGCAAGGCAAATGTGTCCACTGCCACTTTCTCGGCTGATACCTCGCTTTCCCTTTACTCTTCCTTTTCAGTTTGCAGATTCGGTTGCTTCTGCTTGTCTCCTTTCCTGGCTCAGCAAGCAAGATTCCCCATCACTGGCTCTGCTTTCTTGCTGATCAAAGCTTTTACCTGTCCCAGGTTTGAGTAGGGCTGAAAATATTTACGGAAAACATAGGTCTCTCGGGGAGCTTGCTGCCGAGTGTTAATAATGAACATGACCTGCATTACTATTAATTTCCAATCAATGTTAACAGAAATCTAGACAGCAGTGTTTGGCCTGGTAGCTAAGGAGTGCACCTCAGATACAAGGTACAGGGTTCAGTACTCACCTCTGGCTCCTGACTCTAGCTTCCTGCTAATTCAGACCATGGGAGGCACTGGAGATGCCTCACATAACTGGGTTCCTGCCACTCTTGTAGGAGAGCTGAGTGGAGTTCTGGTTTTTGACTTTTTGGTTCAGCCCTAACAATTGTAGTCATTTGGGAAGGAAACCAGGGATGGGAATACTTGCTCTCACTCTTGTTCTTCTCTCTCAAATAATTAAAAAATTAAAAAAAAAAAAAAAACAAACACTAAAAGTAAAACACTGCCCTACAAAGAACTCATAATCCAAAGGTGTTATTTCAAACCTTTTTTTCCCATTTTTTTGCTTGTCTTTCTAAACCGTTTTTTAAATTTTTTAATTTACTTTTATTTGATTTGAAAGGCAGAGTGACAGAAAGAAAAATACCCTTCATCCAATGGTTCACTCCCCAAATGGCAGCAACTGCCGTTGTTTGGGCCAGGCTGAAGCCAGGACCCAGAAACTCCATCCGGGTCTCCTGCGTGGGTGGCAGGAACCGAAGCACTTAAGCCATCACCTGCTGCTGCCCCAGGGTGGGCCTCCCGTACGGGGTGTGGGAGTCCCAGCTGGAGCTACCTACCTGCCCCTCTCTGCGCCATCCTTGATGTTGAGACTGAAATCTACCTAACAGCCAGAAACCACCTAACCAACCTATTAACGCATACATTCAGTTTCTTAAAAAAAAAAAAAAAAAAACTTTGCTGGGGTGGTGATAATGATGGAGACTTTAATAAAAGGTGGTTTCCTCGAGGAACATAGCGCAGCCAACATCTTCTCCCATCTGCCCGTTTCCACGCTCCCTGTCTTAAGGAAAGTGGTCCAGCTGTAACCACCGTGCTCCCCCGCTCCCCCCTCCCCCGCAAGCCACTGAACCGCCTATGATGTCATAATCACAATCCCATTACCTCATCCTGCTGAGGGGGGCATAGCGGGAGGGGAGGGAGTGAACGGCCCTGGGCCCTCCTTAGCTCTGCAAAGTGTGCTGGGTAAGGGCAAACTATAGAACCAAGCGGGAACGTCCCCGCAACCGTTCTAAGGGCTGGATTTATAAGGTTCGAGCCGATCCGGTATCTGGAAGAGCGGCTCCTGGGACTCGGAGCAGGCCCTAATCGGCGCTTGGACTACACTTCCCAGCAGCCTTCGCGCCCAGGACTGGTC